GACGGACAGAAATCATGCCCCAAAGCTTGGATATAACAGTATATGAATATGCAATGAGTATATTAAGGACTTTATTAGCCCAACCTAAGCCAAAGCTGCAATAAAAAACAATTTTTACATACAACTACAAGACCTTCAAGGTTCGTCTTTTATGTAAATACATACTTATGTACATATGTATGCTTAATAAAAAAAATCCCGAAGGCAAATTAATTGCATAAAGTTATTTAAACAAATAAGCGTATTCAACTAAAATCTTGACTTTCTTACCTCAACAGTGGAGGATCAGCGTCAAGCGAATCTGCATAATGAACAGCAAGCAGCGGCGCGGCTAAAGAGGCAGTGATCGCATAACGCGCAACGATTCGGACGGCTATAGTTGCAACTTGCAACAAATGTAGTAGCATCGATTCCAGTAGGATGAGCGGCAACAAAATCGGCGGGATCAGCATAATAGCCCGAACACAATGAAACGACGAGCTACGGACCACAGCTGTCAAATTATTTTTCCACGTATTCTTCTGTAGATAATTATTTTGGCGACGACAGAGCTACGCGACGGCTGTGGTTGTGGGCAGATTAGAACTATTTCTGTTTTTCCAGCGACCGATAAGGTTCTTCCTCTTCTTTTTGGTTGGTTGAGAACGAAAAATGACACTGAAGATGGCATAACGCCGAAACCGGTTTGTCTCCAAACCAAATTTGACAAGGCATGACGGAAAATCGTTCCACAATACATCGTTCTTCCTCTTCTTTTATGACAAACTCATACAAATTCATGATGTCGCTGCCGCGTTAAAATGACTCATGCCGCCATCGACAAAGCGTTCAAATAATGAAGATAACAAATTGAAAGCTGCGGCCCGTAGCTCGTCGTTTTCAATGTGTTCAGCACTTAAGCCAATTGGACAGCGGCTTGTGTGCCAGGCTTGGCAGCTAGGCAAACGATGAGATCGAAGAAAGCAAACAACTGAGGAGAAGAAAATTAACCAGGTCAATACAAAATTGTAGAAATTTTTTCCAATCCGACTTCGTAAATAAAAAGTACTAGCTTAACTTGTATACTTTGTACAATTTTTATGTTAAAAAAGAAAACATAGTTTTTCAAGTTCATTCGTGACACCCTTAAAATAACAATCGAACTTTTTTTATGTAATAAATATACCGTTAAATTTCACACGACGACGAACTGTTTCAAAAAGTTAATTATAATTCAATGTCACTAGTTAGAGTGGCTGGTGCGCAAACTTTTAGCGGTATTTTTGGCCTAAAATTAAAATGTACGCGTGCGCGGTATTGTAAATTACCCAAAATATTTCTATGCACAATGGCGATATAGTATGTGTTACGGTGGTCCAAAAATGGATATAAAAAAGTAAATCGGAATTTTATTGCGCTCAACCTCTAGGATTGATGTATATCGAAAAAAAGTATACCCCTCATTTTTTTTTTATTAAAAAAAGCGCTCAAAGTTTTCCATGTGTTTTATATTTATATCGGAAAACTCTGTCTTTCTGCTCGAGATTCCCAATAAAAATACCCAATTGTAGATTTAACAATTTTTTCATAGTAAATACAATATATATGTCCGCCAAAAACCCCGAAAAATGCAATGGGCATCAATAAAAAATTGTTAGTATTAAAAAATGGTTCTAAAAACAATTGGGTATTGCTATTGAAAGTCTCCTGAAGAGAACCGGAGTTTTCCGATTGAAAAATATTGATTTTCAAGAATTTCTACGAAAAGTTGTTTTTCCACCATATAAAATACATAGAGAACTTTGAGCGCTTTGAGCGACCTCTAAATATTTTTTGATTTCAAAATAAAAAAAAATAGTGGTATAATTTTTTCGATGCAGAACAATGCTAGGGGTGAGAAAATTGCGACTTTACTCTGTTTGGACCACCTTAGTATATATGCACGTAAATAAATACATATGTACGTATGCAAATAATGCTATGTCTTTTACACTACTAGTTTGTTTTGTTAAACATTTTCGAATTTTTTGATGATGAATCACTAAAAAATTTGTTCAACAGGTTTGCATGCAATATTTTAAGAGCACATTACCTTAATTCACAAAGGTCCTAGCCAGCAAATTTTCTATTTTACAGGAGAAACAAAAAACCATTATAAAAAGAAAATTAAAAACTGATCATATTTAGGGCTTTTTAAAAAGTGGCATAACTCCCTTCTTTATTTAATATATCTGTGAAAAACGCAGTTTCGAAAAATATTTTGATTAGGGCCTTTGTGAATTAAGGTAATGTGCTCTTAAAATATTGCATGCAAACCTGTTGAACAAATTTTTTAGTGATTCATCATCAAAAAATTCGAAAATGTTTAACAAAATAAACTAGTAGTGTACATACATACATACATGTATTAGGCCTTCTGCACATTTGTCGTCTAACCACATTTACGTTATCGTCTCGCACTTTGTTTACATTTTATGGGGAAAATTTGTGAAAAATTCATATTTAAATATGAATGAGAAATTATGTCTAGACTTATTGCAGCACAATTCATAATTGTAAACTTGCATTTTCAACCAGAATAAATAATATAAAAAAAACTTTTTAATATACAACGCTTTTATAAATGGACTAAAAAGTAGAAAATAATATTTCTCAGTCCCATA